CGCTTCACATTTCGTTTCACATTTTGTTGCACATTTCGCTTCATATAAATAATAATAAGATAATAATAAACAACTACACGTACTTGCTGATATTGAAAATGTTAAGAATACGGAAAAGCTGAATCTTTATCATTGGGCAAACTGAATTCTTATCTTTATCAACGGAATTCTACTGTAAAAATTGAATCATTACGAAATAGAGCAAAAGTTCGAGTACAACCAGCATCAGTACAACGAAGAAAGCGTAGGATTTCTCAAGAAAACGTAGATTCGACCATGATGAGAGCACGTAAACAAGGAAAAACTTCCAAAAAAAAAAAGAAGCTAATTTATCAAAAAACAACGCGAATAGACCAAATTAATAATATAAAAAAAGTTTTTAATCTTTCATAAACGTATACGTATTATTATGTATTGTAATATTTGCGTGAAGTACATAATTAATGAGAAATATATGTAATTAACCGTGTGCTAAATCAACTTTCAAAAATTTTCCGAATATCGATCATCCGGAGCGCAACCTGGTACACATTTTCGGGCTGCCATATGTTATTTATATTGTGTAATATATGCAAGTTTCGTTCAACCATTTTTTTTATATAATAGACTCGAAGATTTGATCTATATACGTACCACCAAATTTTAGTAAAAATTGGCTTTATCAGTATTTGCGTTTTCAATATAAAACCCGATTAGGGGTCGTGTGCAGTCACGGAACGAGTGTCCAAACTTACCTTGGGGCATTAATAAAAAATGTCGGAAGAAGCCTATAAAGAATTAATTTATATGCACAGAATATATAGTATATATAGTTAACATAAAGTGAATAAAAGTGACATTATTGATTAATAAAGCTAAACTTAATATACAATCTATAAACAAAGACGTTACAAACCCAAACACGTTGCAAGAACATATTAAGTATTAAACCCGGCCCATCTCCAAATTAATGGTCAGTACAAGATTCGAATTTTGATCTAAATTATACGATAATAAGAAAATTTAACGTAATGATTTGGTTATTACCGTTACAGTATAAAAGTTAAAAATCGAAATTATGAAAGATTAAAAACTTTTTTTATATTATTAATTTGGTCTATTCGCGTTGTTTTTTGATAAATTAGCTTTTTTTTTTTGGAAGTTTTCCTTGTTTACGTGCTTTCATCATGGTCGAATCGACGTTTTCTTGAGAAATCCTACGCTTTTTTCGTTGTACTGATGCTGGCTGTACTCGAATTTTTGCTCCACTTCGTAATAATTCAATTTTTACAGTTGATAAAGATAAGAATTCAGTTTGCCCAATGATAAAGATTTAGCTTTTCCGTATTCTTAAAATTTTCAATATCAACAAGTAGTTGTTTATTATTATCTTATTATTATTTATATGAAGCGAAATGTGCAACAAAATGTGAAACGAAATGTGAAGCGAAATGTGAAGCAAAATATGAAGCGAAATGTGAAGCGAAATATGAAGCGAAATATGAAGTGAAATATGAAGTAAAATATGAAAGTGAAATATGAAAAAAATAGCAATAATTACTATTAGTATTTTATAGCGATAATTAATCGATGATATCAATAATGATCATCCCCCAAAAAAGTACGGACACGTGATCGCGCCAAAAAATCTTTAAGTTCGTTTAAGTTTAGGTTAGGGTTTATGTTAAGGTTACAATTTTAGTGTTTTAATAGTAAAATCGTTCAAGGAAAATTTTTTGTTAATGCACGAAAGGTGGTTTCCTATGCAGATTTTTGAGTTATAAGCGATTTTTGACAAAACGAACGTTTGTTTTGAATTTTCCTGATCGTGTTACGTTACACCTGATCTTGAAATCTGATTGGTTTGCGCCACAAAAAAATCATCCTATGATCTAATATAAACACGCGGATTTTCAGAAATGTAAACAATACAGTCTTTGTACTGTTTCGCTGGTTTACGTTCGCGTAACCAGCAACCCTCGGGAAACCTGCTGTTATGTTTTTGCAAACTGACGGTTGTTGTTTTCTCGAGTTCTTTGATGTTCGCTTGGCAGCGTTACCTCAAATAGCCCGTCTTTTCTCTCGTAGCTCTTTTGACGGACCAACAAGAGATACGTGGGAGGTGTATTTTGTCTTTAAAATTCTTCTCTTTTTCACCTTCCAACTTGAGTCCTTTGAGGCTCTAATAAACAAAAAAAGATAATATAGAGAAGATAAAAAGAACCTCGCCTGAGCGGTCATGTCTAGGCCGCGATGATGGGCAAATATATATCATGTCTATGATGAAATTTTTGCATACATATAAATTCTGAGACATGAAATTTTTTATTTTTAATCAAAAGCGAAACAAGAAAAACAATCTTGGTATGTTTATTTATTTATTTATTTATTTATATTTTATTTTTTTGTATTTTTTTTTAACTTTTTTTTTGTCTTTATTTATATAATTCGTTATTGTTGGTATTGTCGTTTTCTATTGTTTTTGGAACTCTTGAGCAACGAGCTTTTTCTTTTATCAAATCACAAGCAATAATCGAAAATGTAAGTTTTTTTTTATAATAAAAAAAAAAATTTTTCTCGCCTTCATGCTTAAACATGCGAATATAATTTATTAACCAGTTTTTAAATTTTAAGAAGTTACGAACTTGTTAGAAGTCCAAATTAAGCGAAATCGAACGTACTGTACGTACTAACCTGAACTCGTCGTCTGTTATACTCAAGATTATATAGATGTATTTTGTATAGTTAGATATTTATTTTACGAATCTAAATTTTTACGAAGTGGTGTTTAATATTATGAAACAACGTCCAGTTTAATAGCGTATAGCGATTGTTCTTTTTAGAAACATTTAGCATTTAGCGGTTATTATTTTATTTATTAAATAATAAAGTTTCAAATAAAGAGAAGCATTTGTTATTATTTTAAATCATAGCCTTCTCAAGTATATAGTAAATTTCGTTGTTTGTTACTATTATTATTATTTTTCCGTTATTATCGTTTGATCTCGATACTGTAAATTCAGAAATGTTAATAACATGTATACGTAGTATAGAAATGTTAATACGTAACATGTATACGATCAATATGTTTGTATCACAAAAAAGTTCAGATATTTGATGTGCGTAGATCAAGATAAATTTAAATTGCTAATTTTTTTTTTTTTTGGAGTATTTCGCAAAAAAAAAAAATAAAATAAAATAATGGTAAAATCTTATTTAAGATACGAGCCTTGGAAGACGTTTGGTGTTATAAATAGCACTACCTCAAATGTCATTTGCTCAAGGGACGGTAAATTTGCTGTCGCTCCAGCATTAGAAGAAGTTGC